CGCCCAAAGCCTAGTTTGAAAGTGAAGATGGCGGCCCGAGGAACATGACACAGTCCGTGAAGGATCTTAAAGCCGTACATAAGGTCACAAACTACGCGTCTGTGATGCATAGACTTTAGCTTTAGGAAAGTACATCTTAGGGGATAGGGCTGGGGTGGGAGGTGGCAGCGTTCGAACACAAGGCGAGTGAAAATTCTTTGTATGCTTTCAAACTTTTATCGCGCCAGAAAGTGGTTCGAGGCGACCAGATCGGGGAGGCGAATTCGGCTATTGGGAGGACATAAGCTTTGAAACATTTGACCAAAAGAGCCGGGTTGCGAATTTTGAGGTTTCTGAGTAGAGCATACATGGCGCGTGAAGTTTTGCACCCTGGTTTCAGTTGTCCCCGCTTTTCTTCCATCCGACCACGCCGCGCTTCATTTCTCTCTCCACGCGTCGAGCATTCCTCAACCGCCCACAGCTAAACCTAGACTTGACTACGCTAAGGCCGACTATGCTTCGCTCAGTAATTTCTTTGACACCATCAATTGGGATTCGAACTCTCCGACCACCCTTCCATTGACGCAATGTACTCTCATTTCCTTAGAATTTTACGCAGCGGCATTGAAGCTTTCACCCCTCCAGCTCATCCGCCGACCAGTATCGAAGTACCTTTACCTGCCCACATTCGCAAGCTCCTGGACTTTAAGAACAAACTTTTTCCCCGAATTGAGGCGTCACCTCGCCTTCGAAAATCTTATCTTACTCTCTGCGACCGGATCTCCCATAAGATCCGCCGTTGGGAAGAATATAGGCAACGTAAACTTTTCAACTCTAAATTCGGTAAAAATCTCTTCTCCTTCTAAAATCTTTCGAAAAAAAGTTCCCCTCGTTTCTCCGCGCCTTTACGTACCCCGGGCTCTGTCCTTCCTCTACTTTTTGACAAAGATAAAAGTGAACTCCTAGCTAAAACATTCCTGGCAGCACACTGCGCTAATGATACCAATCTCAGGCCCACCCAGGGGATTCCTCCTCCGCTAATTTCCCGCACCCATGTGCGGATTGGGAACTTTCTCTTCCTCCCCGGTGAAATTATCCATGAGCTTAATAAGTCTAAAATTAGCTACTCCTTACCGTCTGATGGGGTACCCCCTATCTTATACAAAAAATGTGCGCGCGCGTTGTCACTGCCCCTTGCCCACATCTTTAACCTCTCTCTCCAGCTAGGGCAGCTCCCACTTGCTTGGAAACAATCCTTGATCACGCCAATATTAAAACCGGCCAAGTGCTCCAGCGACCCCAAATCTTATCGCCCCATCGCTATACTCCCAACCCCTCTAAAGTTAATGGAAAGGCTCATCAAAAACCGGCTTTCCTTTTACCTCGAACGCTTTAACCTCTTGCCTGAGCAACAATTCGGGTTTAGGAGCCGCGCCTCGGTCGTCGATCAGCTCTTAGTTAGTCACGAGGATTGGGGGGGCTGCGCTCGAGGCCAAAAACGCTGTAGATATTGCTTTCTTTGACTTTTCTCGCGCCTTCGATACAGTCGACTGTTCCCTCCTCCTCACGCGATGCTTAGAATGCGGTATTACTGGTCCACTTTTGAATTGGCTACGCGCTTATCTTTCCTCGCGCTCCTTCAAAGTTCGCGTAAATGACACCTTCAGCGAATCGTGCCCGGTCCATAGCGGGGTTCCTCAAGGGTCGGTACTAGGCCCACTCCTCTTCTCCATTTTTATTTCTTCTCTCCCCTCTGCCCTTGCTGACTTCCCCCGTGTCTCACTCAAAATGTTCGCTGATGACGTCAAGTTATACATCTGTTACGCTCGGGGAGAAGAAGATTTCGCCCATACTATGCTACAAAGTGCTATCTCTAGGTTTCACACTTGGGCTTCCACCAGCGGTCTATCCTTTTCGTGCGAAAAATCGCAAATACTCCACTTAGGTGTATGGAATCCTAAATTCACCTACTTCCTGGGCCCCTATCAGCTTTCTTCAGCGTCCCATACCCGCGATCTCGGTATTGTCGTGACCAATCGTCTCACCAACGATCATACCCTCGAGCAACGTTATCTGAAAGCTTCACGCGCCATGTATGCTCTACTCAGAAACCTCAAAATTCGCAACCCGGCTCTTTTGGTCAAATGTTTCAAAGCTTATGTCCTCCCAATAGCCGAATTCGCCTCCCCGATCTGGTCGCCTCGAACCACTTTCTGGCGCGATAAGTTTGAAAGCATACAAAGAATTTTCACTCGCCTTGTGTTCGAACGCTGCCACCTCCCACCCCAGCCCTATCCCCTAAGATGTACTTTCCTAAAGCTAAAGTCTATGCATCACAGACGCGTAGTTTGTGACCTTATGTACGGCTTTAAGATCCTTCACGGACTGTGTCATGTTCCTCGGGCCGCCATCTTCACTTTCAAACTAGGCTTTGGGCGAAATAAGAGGCTTTTATTCCATGTTCCTAAGGCCAGGACTGAATCGCGAAAATCAGCCTTCTCCTCCAGAATTACACGCTGGTTCAACCTGCTTCCTCCCGGCATAATAGCTAAGTGTCATCCTAAGTCTTTCCGCAAGCGCATTTCTAAGCTCGACCTCTTTTCAATGCTAAAAACTTAATGCCTAAATTCAAGTCAACCTCTAGTCCCCGCCCTTTCCCCCTCCCCCCCCCTCCTATAATCTACAGCCGTTTCCCCGGCTTTCATTTTTAGATCTTCTACTCCGTCCGAAGTTCTTCTACGTCAATACCTTCCGCCACGAACCGCCAACATCATTACTGAGCTCCTACCGGCACCCCGAAGATCACTATCTCACTTTCTACCCAATCATCCACCCATTCCCCCTTCCATTACCCTCTCCCTCCACCACTCCCCACCCACATAAGTTTGGTCGTCCAGTTCAGGTCCCTTTTTATCCCAACAGTTCCTTACCACACTCAGATGTTGGAGGCCTCACCGGGGTAGTACAACTCAGCTGTTGGGATTGTCCTATAAAGGGTCCTTTTCCGGTCTCCCATCTTCTCAACCATACTCTCCTCCCCCCTTCATCCACCCCCACGTCTTTTTATCTCTTCATCTATGCCCCTTCCCCATACCCATCCACCACTCCTGTGATTCTTTCATTTTATTTTACAATTTCTACAATATGTGCACTTTCTCCACTATGTGATTCTGACTCTGATTCTTTTACGTTGCTTGCCAACGGCGCTCCACGCGCATGATAAATAAATAAATAAATAAATAAATTCGATCCACCAGGATACTGTAAAATGGCTTTTTTCACGATTGCATACTTTTTAAAAGTATAAGTTGTCCTAGAAATAAGTATAATTAATGGCGATTTGGTACTTTATTAAAATTAACCTGCAAACATTCCCAATTTCCGAGTCTTCCAACTCGATTGGATGCTTTCCCACGCATTTCTCTCGAATTCCAAGCAAATCCACATCTAGGTAAGTCTCGCAGTGCCGTCCCAATTTGTCTAGAAATGTCCTTTTTATTTTTCCGCTGAGCTACTTTTAACGTACAAGTATTGCTGACTCCCTCCCCATCGCAAAGCGTGTCGGAAATAAAGTTCACAAATTTTTCAGCGCATGGTGAGCACGAGCTAGTCGTCCTTTGTAGAAATCTACAGAAAGCGATGATTTTGCGTTTTGAAATCGATTTGAAACAAAAAAAAATCAAATTTTCTTACCGGCACGACGAATCGGTCCAATTTCCATTATATACGTTAGATTTCTTAGCATCAAATAGGCATTCGCCCTAGAACTAAACGCTAACAAAGTTCCTTTAAAAGGAAAGGTTTAGGGTAAGTTAAACCTACAATTTCTGTTAAATCGCACCCAAAACTCGTGGGTATCAATATAGAAATCAAATAAATTAACAAAAGGGTTGGCCGATAGCTGGATTTCATTTTTGCAGAAAGAGAAATGCGATAAAATTTGAGGATATACCAACCCATTCCCTTGCTCCCTTCATCCTCAAACCCGTCAACCTAAAAAAAACGAACAATGAGGCGGCGGTGCGGCAGGTGGAACCAGGAAATGCCGCTATGTGCGGCTATTTCCAGTAAATTAATTAATATTCATGCTTTTATTTAAAGGGGCTCGGAAGTCAAAATTCGTGCGTGCGGGGATTGAAACTACTGGTCAAAAATCAAAGGGTCACTGCGGAGGAGTACCAGAAGGATGATTTCATTGCAAAAAAAAACGTAAAATATTTGGGTAAAACCGAAAAGTTCTTGGGGCGAAAACGACATTTTGAGTGCGCGTCGATTACATATCGTAATGCCTCGTAAGTCACCCAATCTCTCGATCCCTGGCTATCTCTGATCAATTTCCATAATTAAAAACTCTAGAATCACCAAAACTCGGTGAGGACTACGGAAATAGCTTCAGAATTTTCAAATTCAAGCATTTTCAGGTCGAATAAGGGGCAAAAGGTCGCGTTGCGGTCGCAATTGGCTATTCGCCAGGAATGAACACAGCGGGCCGTGGAACAGATTTCGGGGCCCCTTTAATTGTTTGCCTATTCAATTTCAGAAGGAACCCGCGGTTTGAGGTCATCGTCGTGTCACAGACAACATCATAACATGACACAGTGAGTTTCCCCACTAAATTTAGTATTTTCTTTCCAGAAACTCTTCGACGCGTACACGGTGGACGCCCACCCGGACGCGCTGCTATTTGTTTACTTTACGGTTACATTAAACGTATATACGGAATTGCAACACTATTTCAAAATCGCAGCCCACCGGCGGATGAGGAGAGTGAGCCAATCCACGCACTACGCGCTGAATGGAATTCCGGTCCTGGTCGTGCTTTGTATTGTGTGCTGCGTGTGAACATCGCATGAAGATTCGGCAGCCATCCAAGCCGGCGCAAAAATTCCGATATATAACCATGGGAGGCGAAAAAAAAAACCATTTTTCCTGGACAAGAAGTTCTTCGCTACAGTATGCGCTTTCTATGCGTTTTCTGCTCCATTTTCTGCCTTAGCACCGTCAACGAGGCTTGTCTCAGGATGTCTTCAACGAAACGTAAGTGAGGGCAATGGGACGGCCTGGAATTTTTTTTAAAATTGGGTCCTATGTAGAGGAAGAAGGGAATCACCCCGCCTTTAGCGGTCGGCAGAGTTGTCGGATTTTTACGATTTTTTACGATTCCGACTTTACGATCTATCGAAAGCTCTCCACGAGCTTATGTGTTCACTTTGAGTTTTGAAACTCCGGGATTTTGGCTCGCTGCAACATTTTTTTCTTTCAAGAATTACACGTTTTTATTGAAAAACTCATTGTATTCTGTCTAGGCACCACCCAGGCCGGCAGAAAATGGTGTAAAAATAGCAAAATCTTATTCTTGTAAAAACCCTTACAGAAAAAAGCATCTGAAATTCATCCCTTGTCGCAGCTTTTCCTTCGCAGCTCGGAATGTCGCAATTTTTGTAAAAATTTCGAAAAAAACACTGGTTAGGAGGCAATTTGTATGCGCCAGAAATGCGTAGCACCTATATAAAGCACCGATAGTGATGATTTCCATATTCCTTCCTCCGGGGATTCGGGAGGAACTATGCAAAGTGAAGGATAACATGGGTCCAAATCGACGGGGCCGGGATTGAAGAGCCGCGATGCGTTTTTTGAACACTGACTTCCACCAACGTCCTGAGATTAGTGTTGGTTTTGACCGGTACCGAAACCCAGTACCGGTACCGACAGCCATTTTTTATCGACGCGATTTTTACCGGTACCGGACCTCCGGTACCGGCACCAAGCATGTACCGAGAGGGTCGGTACCGGTACCAAGTGAGTGCCGATGGCATCTGTACTTTTTCGGTACCGGTACTAAGTGAGTACCGACCGATCGGTACTTTTTCCGGTACCGGTACCAAACCGACCGTTAACGGTACTGCGGGTCGGTACTGGCAAGGGCACAGGGGGGCCGGCTTGCTTCCTGGCAGTGGGCCAGTCGGGTGGCGTGTCGCCGAGGTGACAGAGAAGGGCCCGCCGGTATTTCTTTTCGAATTAAACCCCATATAAATGAAGGTAAGAGCAGCATTCATTTAAAACAGATAGCAATAAAAACCCAGTATAAATAAAGGGAGGAATATGATTCATTTTGTAAAAAAAGGTACGCAGCGGCGACACGCCACCCGTCTGGCCCACTGCGACAACCAACCACAACCCGGTCCCCTGTGCCCTCGCCAGTACCGTTACCGGTCGGTTTGGTACCGGTATCGGAAAAAGCACCGATCGGTCGGTACTCACTTGGTACCGGTACTGAAAAAGTACCGAGCCGACGGTACTCGAAGAGTACCGGTACCCAGGCCTTGACAACGGGCCGGGCCGGGCCGGGCCGGGCCTGAGGGGGGTCGCCCAGTCAGGCCCGGGCCCGGCCCGGCCCGGCCAAATCCAGAATTTCAGGCCCGAGCCCGGCCGGGCCCCGGCCGGGCGGGGCCGGGCCTGGTCGGCCCGGTACTAAATAAGGCCAGGGCGGACCGATCAAATTTTTTTGGTCTATGAGGGGGTTTTTCGATATAAATCGAAGCAATACTTTCGTAACAGTTTTTAACTAATTCTGCATAGAAAAACTTTACAAACTTTCTGAAAACTATTTACAAATCTTTTGTTGCCGGCCAATAGTAAGGTCAACCACCGACAATTTTTGTTCGTTTTTTTTCGGGTTGGCCGTTTTTCGGCTAAGATCTATAAAGCTGATCCTGAAAATACCCTAAGCCAGGTTGTAAACCATCCTAACAGGTCCTGCTAGTCCATTCAGGCCAAAAGCAAAATAATTCCGGCTTATAAACCTCCTAGAGGTTCTAAAAAAACTAAAAACCAGGACTGGCAATTACCCGGATACGGTCACTTATTGATTTTTTCGAACGAAAACACAAATTAACGAAAAAAAAATTGAAAAAAGGTGAACGAAGTCGAAAAAAATCGTTTTTTTGGTTCAAAATTCGAAAAATTTTCTCCGAAAATCATCGTCCAGGACTGATCCGGGCCTAGCGGGCCCGGCCCGGCCCGGCCCGGACCTCAAATTCCAGGCCCGGGCCCGGCCCGGGCCCGCCAAATTTGGGCCCGGCCCGGCCCGTTGTCAAGGCCTGCCGGTACCGGAAAAGTATAGAACCTGTCGGTACCAACCAACAAATACCTCCCAACAAAAACTACCAACAAATTACCGGTACCGGTCCCCGGTACCGATGTTCGGCTACCGGTACTGGGTTTCGGTACCGGTAAAAAACCAACACTACCTGAGATCTAATAGAACACCCTAATGACAGAGATTCTGAATGATGGTCCCATAGCGGCAGTAGTTTTCCGAGATGCAACAACAATAAGCTTGTCAGCCGTTTTTCCTAGGGTTTTTCATTGTTTTCGGTGGTGGTTTTCGATGAAATGATTTTGCGGTGCAATGGTTTTCGGATTAAAACTTTTTGGCAAGGCGACAATTACCCTTTTTTGGGACACGCTCTATATTTTAATTTTAGCATGCGGGGGATGCCCTACCCCGACGATCGACAACAGCATCATTAACCCGACGCCATTTGCTACCAGTAAGTAGTGTTTCGTGCAACATTTGGTACTGGACTGTTAACGGGGGGTGGCGCCTCTTTGCGATGGAAATTTTCTGTTTTGCCTGTTGCCGTGCGACCCTATGACTAGTCTAACCGTTTTTAGAGATGAAAAACATGAAAAAAAGTTAAGTTTCAAACTTCTGAATTTGAAAAAATGTTTTGATGAGTTTTTAGCGATTAAAGGCTATAAAACTATAATAATACATAATATGGTATCAGCCGTGTTTAAATAAAAATTGATGCGCTTTAGACAGCATCACCACCGACGCTAGCGGGTGCTCGGTATTGACGTTGGCTTGCACCGGTACTGGTCCCGGCTTAGCGTACGTCGCGGTAAGCTGAATTCGGGTAAAATAAGCCCGAACTATCACAATTACATGTATCAAAATTCAAGAAGGTCGAAATTTCATAATTAGGCGCAATCCGAATGCCGAAATTCTGTAATTTCGAAAAATCAGGGTACATATAGGATAACGGGGGGCGGGGATAAAATAACGGGATGCACTCATTATTATGAAATTTGCAATTACTGTGGGATTTCGCGAGTGCCATTCGATACGTTTTTAGAAGTATTGAGTTTTAGAAGTAATGGCTTTTAGAAGTAATGATTTTAGAAGGAATGATTTTAGAAGTAAAGCTCTAGACCAAAAGAGGTGCCATGGGCCCTGGGCCCCCCTCCTCCTACATTCCTGCGCACAAGCCCCACTTTTTCCCAGCCATCTGCTTGCAGGTTAACGGGGATACTATGCGGATTCGATGGGCTCGCCGACGATGACGGCAAACTATGTGCTAACCTGCAACAATGACAATGTATGGCAGGAGAATGTTTTCATCAAGTTCCCCGGAGCAACGATTGCCGTCGGCTGCTCGACCTAATTAGTGCTGCCGCAGCCAGCCGGAAAGAAACCTTCATCATTCGCGGTGCAAACTCTAATAAACCGGGCGACAACCTGTTTCAAGAACCGATTATGGACGGTTTGCCTTCGTTGCGAGAAACCCCAAAAATGGGGAAAATGTGTGTTTGGGACAATTTTTCTCATTTTTTCCTATTTTCTTAGTTTTCTATTTTGTATTTCGGCTTTGCAGCTTTTTACAGTTTCGCCGCTTCTCAACCACTCTGCTCCCTTATTAGCAGCGCTTCGGGGAGTGCTGCTTGCATTGGCACAAACTGGTGGAAGACGTAGTTCTCACAAAAAATTAATTTCAATAGCAAGAACGTTGCATAGGCTAAACCAATCGTCCATGTATTTTTGCGAGCAGTTACATGTCTTGGTGGCAAGCGGGAAGTATCTAAATTCAGCGTGGTTACTACGGTTTACAGCGGAGATTAAATGATTAGCAATCAAGATATGAAAAAATAATAAAAAATAATATACAAATTCCGATTTTCAGCAAAACCCACATACAATTCCTTTCCGGAAACGGCATCTTATTCCCATTACGCTTACAAAGCTTCTCCGCGGCTTCCGCCACGTAATTTGGCTCTGGTGAATTTTATGCTATATTTCAAGAAGCCAAAAACTGCAAATGAATCATTTGGAAAGTTCTCCTCCATGACGACAATTTCTTCCTTTCGTAATCGAAGCAAAGCTTCCCCCAAATTCGGGCAGATTTGTAACATTTCGGCGGATTGGTGTTGGCTTTGAATCAACTAAAAAAAATTAATGCTGAGCTCTCTAACTTGCGTTCTTAAGGATTTGTGCCAATCTCAATTCTTTCCATCGACATCGCAGCTGGGCTGGTACCCAGATCAAAAAGCGAGAGAGAGAGAGAGAGAGAGAGCGAGAGAGAGAGGCAGGGAAACAGAGAGAGACAGAGAGCGAACGAGCAAGAGAAATAGAGAGCGACGGAATCAAAATTTGCATCCCAAAAGATTAACTTACGGCAATGATAGCATCTTAGAAAATGACCTCATTCCCCTCGCTGTGCCATTCCGATGGAGTCCGACTTCCGCTCTGAAACCGAGGCCGCCCCGGAGCGCGACCACGATCAAAGTAGGGATTACAGAAAATTTCTGGTGAAAGTTAAGGCACAATCGATGAAAAACCAAAGAAGAAGGCCTGCCCGTGGCCGATCATCCTTGGTATTGGAGGGATTGTGCTTCTTTTGCTGACCGGTATAGTTGACGGTACCTCAACTTGCACCATATCTAGCCTTCGTCTCTTTCAAATTGGGCCAACAATCGGCACCGGAATTCGAGGAGCATGGAGCGCCGCTCTGCGCTCAAAATTCTTCGGGACATGGAATTCCGGTAGAGATCAGCCAATTTCACTTTGTTTCTTTTCATCACTTTCAGGAGTCCACCACGGCCGAAAATTTGTGCACGACCAAGGGATGTACAGAAGCCGCCAGCTTGATCGTGGGTTTGAGGCTTTTGCATTATCGGGGGTGGGGTTCTAAGTGCAGAAATGCCTAGTAGCAAGGAATTTACTAGTGATCTTAGATTAAATTCCACTGTATTTCAAGTGGAAAACCCATCTAAAAATGTACAAACTTGGGATTTTTGATAGAATAAGGCTATATTTTATATTTTTTAATCAACACGTTTAAAGGTGAGCTTTTAGGAATAGTAAAACATCAACTCTAATAGGAAATATTTTAATAGGCCTTCATCATCAAGTTTAACGATATTTCTAGTGGAAAACCGGTATATGTCGGCTACGCGGGGGAATTTTACGCGGGGGGACGGGACAGGCAGGCCTTTTTGGATGTTTTCGTTATTTTCTCGGAATTTTCGCAACGGCATTCGATAGAGCATCGAAAACTATACTAAGAGTTTTTGTTTTAGCTAAAATTAGTGTAATATAAAAGTTATGGTAAATACAAAAATAAGCTTTGAAAATCGGTTTGAGCGGCTGTTTTTCGATATTCGCGCTATTTTTCGACATTTTAAAGATGCCATTCGATAGAGCATCCAAAAATATACTAAGAGTTTTAATTTTAGCTCAAAAATAATGTAATATAAAATAGTTATAACAAAACAAGTATTAAACGCTGTTTCCATGAAGGACATAGAAAGAAATCAAGTTTTGACATTTTCGACATTTTTACAAAATTTCTTGGTGCCATTCGACAGAGCGCCAAAAAGTATACTAAGAGTTTTGTTTGTTGCAAAAGAAACGCAAAAATAGTCAGCTCGGCCCCAACCGTCCGTCCCCCCGCGTAAAATTCCCGCGTAGCCGACATAAACCGGGAAACCTATCTAAAAAACCCAAAGAATTTTTTATGAAATTCAAAATTTTGATCCAAACCCCATTTTTGTTCCCTTTAAACAAAATGTGAATTTTTTTTGCTTTGAGGAACAGTAAAGAAGAATTCTTCTGAATTGGGCAGGAAAGAAAAATTTGCTCCCCCCGATAACGCCATAGCCTGCAGATCGAAAACATGAACCCGGCCCTCGACCCGTGCGAGGATTTCCACGAGTACGCCTGTGGGGGTTGGAATCAGGTACAACATCCCTCGAAAAGCTTAACGAAAATTCAGAAACGCGCCGACTTCTTGCTGAACAGCCTCTTCGACACGTTGAACCAGCAACTTTTGAGTATGAGGAGATGTCACTCTGCCTTTAAAAATCAATCTTGAGACCTGATCATCAACGACAAGTCGGGAATGGTGGCCGTCGAGAAGGCAAATGCGTTTTATGGGAACTGCAAAGCGCTGCGTGCCGAGAATTTCAACTCCGACCTGAAGAAGTACGTCTTCTGGTTGGGCGAGGTACCGCTGATCCGGCAGAAGCTGATGGAGGGATTGGTAGCGTTTTTTTTGGATTGATCTCTCTCTCTTTCTCTCACTCTCTCCCCCTCCGTCTCTCTCTCTCTCTTCGCTGTACAGCAACACACGGCTTTAGAGTATGCCGACAATCACCAGAACTGTCCTCATGACGACCCTAAATGCCTTCGTTTTGCTCCCTCCCCCTGACACACGCCCACCAAATACCTTCCTACGCGTCGAGGCCACCATTGGGCCAAAGATTAAGGTATTCTTCCCCCTTTCCCACGGTATCGCGAAACACCTAGCTTGCGTTCAACGAGCCGGCGCCCATTTTTTCGGCGGTCTGGACAACAAGGCGGACATCAAGGCCGAGGTGGAAAAGGTCAGTCAACCTCGAGTCAACCACACGGCTCTATTTTACGCGCTTAGGCCGTAGCTTCCCTGGAACCTCTCGGGTTCACCATCAGCGAGTACACCCGTGAGAGTAATATTGACGGTCTTGTGGCCTTCTACATGAAGCTGCATGAGGTTCGTTAAAAACTATTACAAAATTTTAAGGATCTTCCAGGTGTTCACCAAGAAGCTCCAGAACAACGAAGCTACCCATACGATCGGCCAATTACAGGAGATGGCGCTGATGGTAGCAAATATACCGGGTGTCCCGAAAATATAGCGTTAGAGTCGAAAAAACAGCAGCTCAATCCAATTTTAAAAGGTTATCTTTGTTTTTGCTATAACTTTTTTATACAGGGCGTCCCAAAAAAAAAAATCGACCCCCCTAGCGGTCCGAGAAAGGTCGAATCTGGATGATTTTTACACCATTTGAAAGCCCTCGGAAAGGCGAGAAAACAAGCGCTGCGGTTTTACAAATGTTCACATCTAAAGCGTCAAAATCGGAGGCTTCTGCGGCCCGCAAGAGGGGAGTCGATTTTTTTTTGTGGGACACCCCGTACAAAAAATTGCACATCTTTACAGTACGACTGGCTGTACTTTATCAGTTGGCATCTGCCAAACTACGAGCTGCAGATTATCCGCCAGACGCAGATTACGTTCACGCAGGAGTACGATTTGGCAGCCGTACGCAATCGTTTCGAAGATGTGTCTACGCCCATTTTTTCAGCTGTCCAAAGTCTTGGTTGACTTTCCACGTAGCGACGTCCAGAACTTCTTCTTTTTGAACTGGGCCCGCCATCTAAAGGAGCGATTCGACACTCGTGCTAAGATCGGATGCGAAAAACGAGTACGTTGGTTGCGGTTATTCATTAGCGGGGGGCTGGAGGGAAATTCCCAATAACCATCTTTCTATCCCTACCCAGCTCCTCTTCTACTTCACAAAACTCACTGAACACCTCGCCATCGACACGATCAGATTCAGAAGTGATGTTGAAGACGTGAAGGTCGAATGCAAAAAATAAATCTCAAGAACCGTCCGAAATTCAGGTTCTGGGCCAGGAGATGCGCGAGGGTTTCCAGCGAGTGTTCGACGAGAACACGTGGCTGGATGCGGAGACGAAGGCCCAGCTAAAGAAACGCGTATTTCAAGGCTTATCGCATCAATCTTGGAATTTTCTTGCAGCTCGACGACCTCAAGGAGTTTTATGGGTACAATGAGCATGCGCTGGATCGGAATACAATCGAGGGATTCTACGAGACGGTGAGAATTCGGCTATGGCCAGCCCTACCTACTGTATTTCGCCTCTACTTTTGTCTACAGGGCTGTAAAGTATACCGAAATTCTTGTCTTTGTCGAGCAAATCTTTTTCTCTATTTAACAAACATAGTTTTTATGTTATGAAGGGCGTTGTATTTTTAGGACTTTCTAGTTATCAAAAAACTACTAAAAACACTATGAAGATGTATTTAATATTATTAATAAGCAGATCTGGGCCGGAAAAAAAGAACTGGCCCCGCTCCTTTAACTCCCGCCCCCCCCCCGCTAAGAGTCCAGTACCTGAAACCTTCTAGCTCCCGATCCCCGAGGAATGGAACCTTCTGACGATGATGCAATTCGAAGAGAGTGCTGCGTGGTTCGTCATGCATATGGTACGCCTCCAAATTAGCATATGCCTAATTCTGGCAAATCAGGACCTGAAAAGCATCTTCGGCCTGGAGGCGGCTATGCCCTTCAAAGCCGCGAATTGGGACAACAAGCTGATTGGTGGGCCGTGGCTTTTGAAAACTCAACGAAATGATTCTAGTTGTTTCCCTTGGCATGATCGGCGCTCCGTTGTACAACCCGAACTGGCCGCTCGAGTTCCAGTACGGCGGGCTCGGTTTGATCATCGTACACGAAATGACGCACTCGTTCGAGGATCGAAGTGGGCGCTTTAGAGGCAGAAGCACCTAAGCCTGAGCCTAAGCCTAAGCCGAAGCCTAACCTGAAGCCAAAGCCTGAACATAAGCTTAAGCCTAACTCTAAGCTTCAGCCAAGCCTAAGCTTGAGTCTAGGCTTAGGTCCAAGCCGGGGCCAACGCCTATGTAAGCCTAAGCATAAGCCTAAGCCTAAGCCTAGCCTAAGTCAACGCCTAAAACCGAAACTCTGCCTAAGCTATATATGGGTCGGGGCCTGGGGGCGCCGCCAAATGCCCCTCTCGAGGAGCCTTTTGGGGGCGTCTCGGGTGGGGCCTGCGGGCGCCGTGGGTGGGGCCTTTTTCCGGTATGCAGTGATGCAAATTGCGAAAAAACGCTTTAGAGACGACTTTGCAATTTACATCGCTGCATATCGGAAAAAGGCCCCACCCACGGCGCCCGCAGGCTCCACCCGAGACGCCCCCAAAAGGCTCCTCGAGAGGGGCATTTGGCGGCGCCCCCAGGCCCCGACCCATATATAGCCTAAGCTATATATGGGTCGAAGCCCGGGGGCGCCGCCAAAGGCGCCTCCCGAGGCACCCCCTGGGGGCGTGTCGAGTGACGCCTGTGGCGGCGCCTTGGGCGGACCGGGAGGCGCCGGGAAACCGAGATGTAAAGCAAAACATGCAAAGTTATTATGGAAATGAGATTTGACTGCCCATCCCTGATATCTAAAAGAATAGCCTAGAAAAAGATTAGTTGATTGGCCTAGAATTTTTATCCCGATTCTTTCGCATTGAGGGAGGGGAGTTTCTGGGGAAACCAACTTTTTTCCAAGGATTTTTTTTTCTAAAACAAATAGTGAAAGTGTTTCTCATTTGTTGTTACTATTCCTGAACGTAGAAACTCTACAAACTTTGAATAAAATAGAAAAAATTCGGAAGGTCCACTTTAATTTTTTCAAGTTTTTTTTTATCGTTTTTGCACTTAAAATAAGTTAAATTTTGCTAAAAACATTATTAAACGTTACTAGGCATTTCTGAAGTGCAAGGCAAAAATTTCTTTGCAAGTTAGTTTCTACTGTCCGTTGCTCTTGCGCTCGAAATGAATAATTAACATTAAATCGAAGATTTGCATAATCTCACAGGCGCCGTTGGTGACGCCCCCCGCCCCGTTAAAAATCATAGGGGCGGCGCCCCCAGGCGCCACTCGGCACGCCCCACAGGGGGTGCCTCGGGAGGCGCCTTTGGCGGCGCCCCGGGGCTTCGACCCATATATAGCCTAAGCCTAAGCTATACATGGGCGGTCACCCCAGAGGGTCACCCTGGGGGTCAGGGTTGTTCATCGCGTCCCCGGGCCAAAACTTTCGAAGCCTCTATCTCGGTGGGCAACGTACCTAGCGGGATGAAAATTTGTGGAGTTGTGGAGGAAAGGGAGAGGAACGTCCTCACAAAATTTGAAAGTTGTAGCCGCATGTAGAAGCCCAGGGACGTAGGGGGACGCAAGGGACGGCGGACAGGGCTGTCACCCGTCCCCTGCGTCACCCTGCGTCCCCGTGCGTCCCTTAGCCGTTACCGCCTTGAAATTTTGCGTGAACGTTCTTCTTGCTTTACTCTACAACTCCACAAATTTTTATCCCGCTAGGTACGTTGCCCACCGAGATAGAGGCTTCGAAAGTTTTGGCCCGGGGACGCGATGAACAACCCTGCTGGGGGTGACCGCCGCTCACCCCCTCGGGGTGACTGAATGGCACGATGGGGTGTCACCCCTCCATTTTTCGTGGGGGTGAGGGTGCGGAACCGGATCACCCTATCCACGCAAATTACTTAGATGGAAATGACCAACGGTCAAGAATTTGCTGTAGGCAGCGATCAGAAGGCTAAATTTTTTTAATTTAAGTTATATACTTTCCCACTACCGCTTGAAGGGTGTTTTATACTCGATTAAAATGAAAAATTTATGATATTTGCGGCCAAACACCGGCATCTTGCCATAGAAGTTTATTTGAATGCAGCACTTTGCATCTATACGGTGACCGGATTGTCACCCCGGAGGGTCACCACAGGGTGCCATTGCAGTCACCCCCAGGGGGTGAGCGGCGGTCACCCTCAGGGTGACCCTCCGGGGTGACCGCCCATGTATAGCCTAAGCAGAAGCCTGAGCCTCAGCCTAGACCTAAACCTAAGTTTGCTCCTAAGCATAAATACCCCGCTTCAGGCGATCTACCACCGGGCAATGTTGGCAACGACACCGACGAGTTCTTGGAAAAAACCAAGTGCTTCGAAGACCAATTCGGGAACATCATCTACGAGAACCCACGCTTCAACATCACCGCCAAGGTCGCGAAAGCCTATATATCTCTAAATTTCATAAATTTCAGGCCAACGGTCAAAAGCAACGCTTTGAAGCTCTCCCCGACAACAATGGCATCCGCATCGCTTCACGGGTCAGTATGACGACATCAAATTTCTAGGCGTTTCTAGGCCTACCTTGAGAAACGCCAGAAGCTCTACGGCCGGAACCCACCGAAATTGCCTGGCCTTCAGGAGTTCACCAATGATCAGCTGTTCTACTTGGCGGTCGGCCAGGTTAGACGTTGAGCTTCAAACTCACCAAAGTTTTTGCAGATGTATTGCGGGCGCCAGCCGACGATCTATCCGAATCAGACCCCAGCAGAACGTGCCTGGCTTGACGCGTCAGTTTTTTGGTGCTAACATCGATATCGCGCTTTACAGTCAACACCCGGTGCCAAATGTTCGCCTTAACGGGCTCTTACAAAATTTCAAACCGTTCGCAACGGCCTTCAAGTGCAAGGTGGGTATCGATAAGAGAGAGAGAGAGAGAGAGAGAGAGAGAGAGAGAGTGAGTGAGAAAGAGAGAGTGGGAAAGAGAGTGATAGAGCGTAGGTGAGAGTGAGAGAGATCGAGAGAAAGACAGTGCGGGAGAGATAAAAAGCGTGAATGAGAGGGTCTGGAAGTGAGAGAGATAGTGACTGAAGTAGCGAGAGAGAGAAAGAGAGAGAGAAACCTAGAAATAGAATCGCCAGAAAGCAATAAGCCATTCGGTTTTTAGCTGAATTCGACGATGAACCCGATGCGCGAATGCCGCGTCTACCGCCACCGCATCCACTGAAGCTCCACCGTACCCCACCTCTACCGTACACCGAAGCCAACTAACCGATGCCCCCATATGATTTCCATAAAGATACTGGCCATATACTAGACTTTGTGTTTTTCTGTATTCTTTTGGGCTGCTTTTGGAATAAATGGTGTTTTCGGATTTCCGATATCGTGTTTAATTCCTTTGGGACCGCTTGTATCAGTGGAAAGAAGGAAAATGGGATAGCAAAAGAAAATCGGGCAGATAAAGATAGAGAGAGAGAGAGAGAGAGAGAGCGAGCGAGGAAGACAGGAGATACACGAATTAATTAGATACCAGCGCCCAAAACCCGCTTCGCGGGCCTCCACCACCTCCACTAGTGTGGAGGGGTCTCATATGTTTCCCCTAATTTGGCAACGATTTCCCCGGGGCTTAGGCTTAGGCTCAGGCTTAGGCTTAGGCTTAGGCTTAGGCTTAGGCTTAGGCTTAGGCTTAGGCTTAGGCTTAGGCTTAGGCTTAGGCTTACAAGGGAAGTGCACGAACTTAAGGTGGCCTTTCTTTTTCAAAATAAGTGGTTCTGATAGTGTGGAACACGGGGATTCCGAATCTGTAATCAGAATCTGCTAAATGAAACGGAGAAAAAAGTTATGAGGCTTCAAAGTTGGCAAAATCGACAAAAACGGTACCTTTAGCGGCCTGTAAAAGGCGGGGAAGCGGAATTGAGCAAAAACCGATTGGTACATATTGTTCAGCAGAATAAGCTCTTTCGAATGAGCTATCATTCAAAAAGTATACAATGATTTCGCGGAAATCTCTTCTATGATTTCCACAGGCTCTACCCTTACCTGTGAATTAAAAAGAAGCTTTTTGACCAATTATCTGTAATTGCTACATATTAAGGCTCATTCGAAAGAGCTTTTTCTGCTGAACAGGATGCACCAATCGGTTTTTGCTCAATTCCGCTTCCCCGCCTTTTACAGGCCGCTAAAGGTACCGTTTTTGTCGATTTTGCCAACTTTGAAGCCTCATAACTTTTTTCTCCGTTTCATTTAGCAGATTCTGATGACAGATTCGGAATCCCCGTGTTCCACACTATCAGAACCACTTATTTTGAAAAAGAAAGGCCACCTTAAGTTCGTGCACTTCCCTTGTAAGCCGGGGCCTCCCGCGTCTCGGAATAACCTGTTTTCGGTACTATTTTTGGTGCTCTTCCAGGTGTCAGCGAAAGGAGAGAAATCGCGTTTATTCAAGAGCTATCATTTGGTACAAATCGAGCATCATTAACACCAGACCAGACTTAGCAAAAAAAAAACATTTTTTTCGGCGAAGATATCCCATTTGAGCTCGGTTTCGTCGTCGACGTGCTTTTCGGAGTGGACTACTCCCTTGGCCTCGACTTGACCACCGACATGCTCGTCGACGCGCTCACCACCGTGGCCATCGACATCGTCATGGATTTGGAGGCGACCGCTCGGGATTTCGAATTCAACAGCCGCAGCTCGGCCTCGTATTTGCGGTATTGCCGGCGGAGGTACCAGCGCTCCGCGTACGGGCGCTTCGCGGGCCTCCACCACCTCCACTAGTGTGGAGGGGTCTCATATGTTTCCCCTAATTTGGCAACGATTTCCCCGGGGCTTAGGCTTAGGCTCAGGCTTAGGCTTAGGCTTAGGCTTAGGCTTAGGCTTAGGCTTAGGCTTAGGCTTAGGCTTAGGCTTAGGCTTAGGCTTAGGCTTAGGCTTGGGCTTGGGCTTAGGCTTAGGCTTAGGCTAATAGAGGCCGCCCATGGAGATCGGCCATATCGATTGGCGGGAAGAGGTCGACCATGGAATTCGGTCATATCGATAGGCTAACGAAAACTTTGTATACTTGTATTTTATCAAAATTCGGAAAGCGCCATTGGAAACAAGGGTAGATTTCCCCAAGTGATGGAGAATTAGAGCATTTTATGCACGGGAAGGCCCTCAAATCCGGCCTTGAAAGTGACATCCACGCACACACAGTTACGCGCCAAAATCATATAAGGTAGGAGTAGATATTTCATGACATCAAAGAAATAATAAAATTTTACTGCAAGTGTTTGTATCGAGCATCCAAATTCCAATCAACGGAAACTTTTCGCGGTTTGATTGTGGCCGGGCGATTTGCCTGATCTGCCTGAGGGCGCATTTGCAGTGCCGAGGGCTGCGCAAAAGCAATTGTCTGGAGAGGCATTATTGCAACTTTGCCGCGGTTTCCAGTTTCCACCAGACCTAGTTCTGATCAAAATTTATTCAGTCATTAAACACAAATTCAATGAGCTGCCCATCCGCGTCGGCATCGATTTCGATATGTTCGAGAGCAGCAATTTCAGCAATACAAGGTGTCCCAAAAAACTCCCCTCCCCTCTAGCGGCGCCCAGACGTGTCCGATTCTCGCCGTTTAGGTATCTATCGATAGCTCTCGAAAAGGCGAGAAAACAAGAAGAGTTCATTTTCTTTATTATGTATTTTTATTGGCGAATTTTACCTCCAAAATCCATGAAAACGGCAGATTTACGCGAGATCCGCATGCTAATTGCGAAATTCCTAGAAAAGCTACCTGTTTTTTAGAAAAACGTTGAATATCGGACGAATCAGAATAAATCTTAGAAAATGAAGCCCGCTTGTTTTCTCGCCTTTTCGCGGGCGTTCGAATGGTATAAAAATCATCCTGATCTGAGCTTCCCACGGACCGCTAGAGGGGGGGGGTTTGGGACACCCTGTATTCTCTGAAAGCCGGAATCTGACAATCAGTGCATCACCATTTGCCCTTCTGATACGGTAGTAGACAGATTGGTCGTCAATTGTTCGGTAGGTTCTCTGGTAATCCGTCAGAAAAACTGGCGGAATGATACCAGTCCAAGGTGGCAGCGTCATCATATGGATCCCACGCTCATAAGCTTGCCACTCTGCAACGACCGTTTTGCCATAGCCTTGTAGGGCTCTTGTAAGCCGAGTCTGGCCGAATTTCCCGTTGTGCTGCAGCAGCGTATATACAGAGAGCGGCACCGACGTGTTCATTCTGAGGGCTTCCGTAAGGTCATTGAGCCACAGCATCAAACCGAGTTCCGGCGAAACCCTCTGATGAAGCGTTATCCTCCAACAAGAACTTCTAGCTCTTTTCTGCTCAATTTCGTTCCCCCGGTTTTTACGGGCCCTTAAAGACACCGTTTTTGGCGATTTGGCCTACTTCGAAGCCTCATAACCTTCTTCTCCGTTTTATTTAGCAAATTCTGATTACAGATTCGGAATCCCCGTGTCGGATTCTATCCGATCCTCTTTATCCCGTTTCGAAATCCCACGGTCAGGTCGTGTACTTCCCTAGTGAGTAAAAACACTTTACTTTACTGTACCTAAGCCTAAGCACCTAAGCATGCCAAACACTTGGCGCCTAGTTACGACAATAACCCGGTATATCTAGCTCGTAAGGGTCAATAACACGAAAATACAGGGCACAGTTCAATACGTATAACATGACGCAAAGGTTGCGAATGTTTCTTATTCCACCGCAGACCCATCCAAATCGTTTCCGCCACAAAGCCGACACACCGTTGGCCCATAACAGGAAAGCATGAGCTCTTGGCGTGCAGAGGAATACATTTATTTTGAAATGCCTTGTGTGCTGCGTTGCGTGGTGGATGCTGGTAGATCTAGAACGGACATATTTTTGACGAGTTTTCCCTGATTTTTGCAACATAGAGAAATGCCGATCGCCTACACGGGTCGGCGGATTTGGTGGTCGTCGTCAGACCATAGGTTTTGGCCCGGCTTCCGCTAAAGCCGTTTTAGAAGGATAAATTTTAATGAACTACCAGAATCGCCTCGTGATAACGTTTCGGTAGTCTTTAATGAAATACATGACGAATAGCGGGTCAATAACGGGATAAGTGGAAACACATACCATAGCTAAAATTTATACTTGCTAAATAATCACGTGAAAAACGAACCGTAGTTGAACAAAGGGCCAAAAAATTCACATCCAAAGAATGCCAAGGTATTTGTAATACCGCAAGGAATGTAGTCGGCCAAGATCGGCACGGAAGCCTAAGGTATACGGCCTATTAACTTACCTACAACACACTAACCTGAATTAACAAAGCTTTATACAATTCTCGATGCATGCGCTTGGTATTCGCGCTTAGCTTTGCACGCTGTAGCTGGTAGCGGATGCTAAAGCTGACTGTAACATGACAAGCCTATAGACCCCACCCATAGGTACAGTAGCCTATCGCTATAAACCCGATCCAATAAAGGGCCATCGTCCAGACGGCGGCAAAAACTTCTGGTGCGTAAAGTACCTCTTCCCCCAAAGTATTGTTCACCTAATTTTGCAATACAAAAAAAAGAGATCGCAGCACCACTAAAAACAAACCGAGCATCGTTGTATTTTCCGGCACCAACCCGTAGTCTTTCATCATGTTTTCACGAAAATAGTTCCTGGAAATATCGTTTGCAAAAACCCGGCGGCAAGTTATCTCATGCGTTGTCAAAAAAAGCTATACTTACGGATGAGCCCTGATATGATAACCAGAAAAATGGAAGGATGTCCCCCAGGACAAGCTACTAAACAAAACATATCCTATTGGTAGCACACATCGCCTTGACGAGAAATAGATAAGTAGATGCGGCCTAGAATTCGCTATCCAATGTCTCATGGTAACCACCTTATCACGGCCAAGTATCTATATAAAAATTGCATCACAACGACCGTAATTACGCACTGAAAGTTATCGTTTATATTCGTTGGTACTAATGAACTACCCCAAATAGAAACCCCCAGCAGACGATGCCGGCATGCGCAGCACATGGCCATCTACTCAAAAAGCCTTCCGAGAAGAACACATAGGATTTTCCGTTAATGAAGAGGTGCTTAAAGCATCTTTTAGAAAATTAGCTTTCATCTACCGGCATTAATAGACCGTGGCAAGTTGGGAAAATGAGCATGCAGCTGCTGAACGAGAGCATCAGATATTTGTATGCGCCTGGAACTGGAAATTACCGACGATATGAAGCTATTGGCCATACCAAGCCTTTCCGGTGAATGGTTGATGATCATGTAAATCAGCATGGAATTGGTAAAATAGGCAGCGATTGAGTCAAAATAGCAGATCCCGTGGATCAGCCGCTGCATGTCCATTTTGCGAGAGGCTCACGTCTTTCTGCCTCGCCTTTACACTTATAGCCACAGGTAGGTCCTTCTAAAAATATTGCACATCTCAGATGGAAAAACAAAATTGAAAGTATGAAAGGAGCTGCTCACGCATCAGAAGCGAGTAATGTGCAGAGAGGTGCGATGACGGAAAACAAAATTTGCCAGGCGTCACGTAAAAATGACTGGCACATGCGCAAAAGCAGTTCTTCCCTTCATAGTTTTGCAATATTTGGCTCAAGGTAAAAATAGCCAAAATTACCAAGAACTGCGCTTGGGGCTTGTCAGACAATGCGAAATTATTGGCTAATATATCAGCTCACAGCGGTGACTAATGCGAACACAATTTTGGGTGGGAACGCGGCTTTCTACCCAGACACTGCAAATGTTGAACAGGGAAAACGCGACGAAGATGCTAGTAATTGCCCAATTTCCGAAATTAGCGTGGTATTCGGGAATGTATTCTTAACCCAACTTCTTCGCGCCGACCGAAAAATAGCATGAAGACCCTCGTCTTGAGCCGGTTCCCTTTACGACGACTTTGTGGTACTCTGTCCGGTGGGAACCCAGATTTTCGAAAACTGATATTTTCGAAACTCATATTTTCTTGGGTTTTCTTAGGTAACCACAGCCTCTGCAAAGCTTTAAATATCAGTTTTCGAAAATATAAGTTTTCGAAAATATGAGTTTCGAAAATATGAACGCCAATCACTCTGTCCACTGCCCCTGGGCCAATTTTTAAACAACTGGCGGAAAGGACGTAGGTTTTCTTTGTCTATTTGATTATTTCATTTTATTTTCATTTTCGTTAACTATTTTTGAGAAATTTGAGTTACTTTTGGCCAATTACAATCTTACCCACAGACAATTAACTTTTCTTATTTGTTCTCTTGACACACCGCTTCGATTCTTCTCCTTCAATTCAGTACCCGCAACGTCGTCGAAAAAGCGATGATAGGTTATTTTTGGTTTGTTTTAAGGTCAGCTTAAGTTGAATCAACCTCAAAGTATGCCCTATGACGGCACCTTCATGGAACACAACAAGTAGAGCATTTACTACGCCATATTAAAGTTATTCAGGTATCTCTCTTTTTTATTAGTGAAGCACCTTTCAATGGGATTTTTTTTTCTACATTGGTAGACTTCCCCGTATCGGCGGCAGTCGTACACGTCCATTTTGTGCAGCGGTAAAACCTGAAGTTCTCTTTGTATAGCGTAAAGTTATTAAAACCTACTGGGATCTCCTGTTTTGCTCACAGTTCCGAGGGTTTCCATGCCGGCTACTTTTCCGCTAAAGAGTTCCATGAAGCTATCCTATTGGCAAATACCGTATTGCTCTGGATATCACAGCCCTGTAGTCCCTTATAAAATACAGTACAAGTAGGGGATCAATGACCGGATACGTCGAGACACACACCATCGCTAAAAGGCGGTAAAGATCGAGTTTTTGACTCGAAAAACTAACAATAATTGAAAAGTGGACCAAAGAATTCGCAGCCGAAGAAGGCGAGAAAGTGGGTGATCCCGCAGGGAATATAATCGGCCAAAATCGGCACCGAAGCCTGAAATTCGAGTTTGTTAATCTACTCTGTGAAGACAGGCCTTCAGGCAAGTTCATGTTTAAGGAGAAGCAAATAGATTAAAATGCTATAAAATTCTACAACACACCGACCTGAACTAACAATGCTTTGTACAATTCGCGGTGCATCCGCTTTGTTTTTGGGCTTAATTGAGCCCTTCCCAGATGATACCAGATTCTGAAAGTTGAGTTGAAAATTTGAGGTTCGTGGCTTTACCCGTAGGTGCAATATCCTATCGTTATAAACCCAATCCAATAAAGCGTCATCGTAAAAACGGCGGCGAAAACTTCGGGGCCATAAAGTGTTTCCTCACCCGCAGAATTATTAGTCTAAAGAAGATAAATAAAACACGAATGTGGTTTAAATCTCACCGCTAGGAATAATCCAAGCATTGGAATATTGTCCGGCGCCAATCCGTAGTCCTTCATCATGTTTTCACGAAAATAACCGCTGAAACCCAACGGTTTTGAATTTTTTTAACAACGAATTTCAAAAAATACTTACAGATGAGCGCGAATATGATATCCGGAGCAATGCACTGATGTAGCCCATGATACACTGTTAAACAAAACGTATCCTATCGGGATTACACACTTTTTCGAAGAGAAATAGACCAGCAAGTGAGGTCTAGAAAGCTTTGCACTGGAAAGCGTCCCTGGTGAAAAAGACACACCTTATAACCGCCAGATATCGATATAAAAATTGCATCATAACAACAGTTAATATGCCCTAAAGAAAATTGTTAACACTTAGAAAAGTTACCCCAAATAAAAATGCCCAGGAAACGATACCAAAATGTGCGGCCCAGGCCCAATTACTCAAAAGCCTTCGGAAAAGAATACAAAAGATTTTCCATTGATGAAAAGGTGCTAAAGCAAGTGATGCAGTATACTACGTCTGTTTACCGGCATCAAAAGACCATGACAAGTTGGGAAAATGAGCATACAACTGCTGAACGAGAGCATGAGATATTTATATGAGCCTAAAGATTTTTCAAGATGGGTATGACCGTGAAATGAACTCAAACACGTTTTTTACGTACCTAATTTAGCTGGCGAATGGTTGATGATCATATAAATCATAAAAGAGTTTGTTATATAAGCTGCGATCGAATCGAAGTAGCATATACCGTGGATCAGCATCTGTACGTCCATTCTGGCTAGCTGCCGGCTGGAGGAATGGTCAAAGGTCGGGGGGGCTATTTTTTCCATTTTCCATTTCCAAACAAAAGCTCCAGAATTTGACAATTGACAGAAAGGGCTTGCTTATGCAGCGCGCGATTTCACCGTATTGAAGGCAAGAATGGAAGGCCACCTTTTTAACGCGATAACAAACCTAGGATGGCCTGATTTCAGGAATTAATAGCAAAGGGAATCCCTGGGGTATGTGGCCGTGCTAATTGTAGAATTTGTGTGGCGAGCGGTAGTACGGATGTGCCGAATTTCCGGAATGATGAACATGGCACGTGGACATGGGAAGTGACAATTAGTTTTTAGTCACTTTTAAATTGAGATTGCTTAATTTATTACACGCTATTAAATAGTGCAAATTGTACAGGAAAATCAAACAAAACAAGCAGCAGAACTGAAAATCAGCAAAAACCAGAGGAAAAGAACAAGCAGAAGAACATCAAATACCTATAATGCCGAAACCCAAGAATGTTTGAGAACCAGTGCCAATTTTTTTGGCGGAAGTCTGAAGGTGCGGCAACCCTCAAAAAGCCCGCCGGGTTTCTGTAATTACAAGTCTGCTGCTCCTAACCGACTGGTAATTATTGTGCCTCGAATAGGTCACGAATTTGTGCGCTTGTGAAATGACTGGCCCACAGGGACCACGGAAATGAGATCCGACGCGAAATAAAAATCAGGCGAACGCCCTGGGTGGTCCCATGATCCGTTGGGAGTTGAGTTTTCAGGCTTTTTTGTGTTTTCCGATTGCGACTGTTTTTGCGCGCGTTGGCCAATGTGATCAGCCTCTGCAGTAATTGAGATTTTTGGTAGACAACGTCTTTTTAGAGAAGAGTTGGACTTGCGGAGCGGACACGTGAGCGCACCAAACATTTAAGGTGAGATTCGGAAATTTTTGCGACGCTCTGGCTTGGTTTATAGATATAGGTACTATTTTTAGATACCCATGGCGATTTTCCCAGAAAAAATAACGACATCTCAACGCGTTACAACAAGCATAAAATTCGTTGCGCCTAAATCATTCTAGTCTTGCTGTTGCTCCTGACAATGGTATATTTTTGGAATCGTAATCATAATCATATTTCATAGCACAGATTTATCATAACTCATTTAAAACGAAGACTGAAAAACGGCGTCTTGATCGACGCCCCTTCGTCTCCGAAATCCGCGCCAAAGCCGAGGAACGATCCGCCGACGCCGCTCTTCCCGACCCGGAATCCCGTATCTGCATTGAATCCCACGCCAACGTCCACCGTTTCTCCCTTTCTCTCCGTCCAAAGTGCCTGAGTAAAATAGGTGTTCACGGCAGTGATTAGATATTTTATGCATTAATACTATCTGTGTATCGAAATGTACCTTCGCCTCAACGCCTACTCCTACACCGCTCTCAGTCACGCCATAGTTCCCGCCAACTTTTGCGACATCTAGGGTAGCACCCGGCTTGCTCAACCTAAGCAGAGAGCCGCTTCCTGCCAGATCCAGACCGCGCGACGTGTCGCATTTTCCATCGAGGGCAAAGACTTCTTCTTTTTGGCGATTTGCCTCTTCCCACTCACGTCGCTCTTCCTGAAAAACCCAGAATGAATTTTCGCTCTGAACTTCGTCATTAGTACGAGATAGCGTTAGCCGCAGACTAACCTCTTCCTTACGCCTTTGCCGTTCCCGCTCCCGCTCCGCAGCCGCTTCTCTCCGGATCCGTTCTTGTTCCCGTTCAGCCTCCTCCGCTCTAAGTTGAGCCTTTTCCAAAGCTGCCTTAGTCTTTCTCGCTTCCTCTCGCGCTTCAGCAGCTTCTTTTTCTTTCTGCTGCCGCGCGATTCGTTCAATCTCTGCCTTCCTTTCCGCTTCATGCTTTTGCTGCTTGAGTCTTTCTTGCTTCAAAGCGTTTGCGTTTCTCTCTCGTGCTGCTGCAATTGCTTCCTGAAGAAGATGCTTTTTTCATACGCAGCTCACTAATATCAGCTTCATGTACTTTTTCAAGACTTACCGATAACTCTTTTCCAAAGGCCTGCAAAGCTTTGCTCTTTTCGTCCGCTGTGCCGAGGACTTTTGATGTTGCATATGCTTCGTGGGCTGCTTTTTGATAGCCATTGATCGCTAGCTCGAAGGTTCCAGGTTCCACCGCATCAGGAATGTCAGCCAGGCCCTAAGTAATGAATTTTGAAGCCCTTACTTTTCCCAAAAACCTCCTTGAGTTTTTCCATCCCAATTTTATGGGCCGCGTTGAAGAAGACATCTTTCATTGCCTAGGATTGTTGTGGATTTTCAGAGTTGAATCGATACCTCAAGGGAGCTTCTTATTCCACCCTTGGAAAATTCTCTGGCGTGCTTGACGACTTCCTAATCATATTTTTTCTTTAGAGCACAAAGTCATACTTTAAAATATTCCCCAAGTGTATCGGCAGTCAGCTCTGCGCTGGTTTTGCCTCTTTTAATCGATTTTGGCGCCAGTCCGCTCAATTGGGCATCGACAAATTCACAAAGACTCTTGAGGAAATCAGGCTCGCAATCTAAACAAATTTGGTATAGAAATGGCAGTACTTTTAGTGCTACACCTTTAGCGTTGATCCAATCACTAGACAACTCGACGGTCCTTCCCGGGTTAGGGACTTGCCAGCAGACCGTTTGTTCGAACGCCTTGAGCAGTCCGTTGATTTGGGCGGACAGCTGCTTGGCGTCTTTTGCCTCGTCCTATTGACAAGGTGAAGCTTAACCCTAAGGGTAAAAACCTACTTTCTTACGATCAAAGTAATCCCGGTTTAGCCCAACGTGACGGACGGAATCACGAATAAGTAAGGCAAACTTCTAAAAAATTGGATGAGTACTGAATCAAAATCTGCACCTGTCCAATTCGTTCTCCCTCGCTGTCCGTATAAGCCTGGAACTCATTTAGGGTCTCCCAATCCAGGGCGTCCATTTGCTTCATGGTATTTAGGATCTAAATAGTAAAGTGAAAAGGAGGGTTGGAGAGAGAGAGAGAGAGAGAGAGAGAGAGAGAGAGAGAGAGAAAGAGATCTCATTCTACTCTATTCGCTTTTTGACCAGGTGGTGCGATAACTTACAAAGCACGAGGAAACCATCAACGAAATCGTGCATAGAATCGCCGAAACGGCTTTCTCACTCTCTGTATCAAATGTCCCTTGCACATCCAAGATCAACACCATCATCTGAACGATTTCGAAACGCTCTTCATCCGGTATACCTCTTTGCCGTCCCCATTTTTCCACGGAAAAAGCTTCGACCAAGCATTGATCCCCTTGGTGTGCGCCCGATCCTGGGATTTGAACGGAATTCCGCTAAAATATTCTTATGCACAATTTTTCAACATCAAACCCAATCCGTTGTTCCGGCTTATACGCAGCTTGACCGTCTTGTAGCGCCTTCATCATTACATTAAGTAGAAACGACTTTCCGGTACGGAATTTCCCGCATACGGCCAGCACGCCGATCTGAAATTTCAGGGGTTGAACCAATATCTTAAAATACAGGTTTTCCAACGGCTTGCTGAACCAAATCGGCTAGGAATTTTTCATCCAAGTTGACGCGGCTACCATCGTTGTTTAGGGTGATCAAAGGTTTTAGCTCGGCCATTCTGCAATTTGATCATTCTCAAAGGGGTGAGTGAGTTCGTTGTTAAGTCAGTTAAGAAATTATGGAAAACTTAGGTAGCAACAAATATGAAAAAAAGTCGATTGCTAGGGTGGAGACCCCGGCTTATATCAGACCGCCAATTTCTTGCAGAACAAAATAGAGTCAGCGGCGCTGCTGGGCAGATAAGCTTGCAGGGAGCACGTATCGGTACGGTTGACTTTCGCTCTCGTGGGACAAAACGACAACGTGAATTCAGAAAACCTTCAGAAGTTTGGAATTTTCGTTGAATCATTCCTCTGAGCTAGTCAAAAACTTTCCTGCTCTTCAAAATTTGGAATTTTGGAAATTCACTTGGCTAATTTTTAGGTTTCTGGCAGTTAAATCACCTCATGTAATACTTGGGATATGCTATGTCCTAGAAATCGTGCATTTTCACAACAAAGTAGCTTTAGTCAGAAAGTCTTTTAAACTAATCATCCTACCTTATATAATTTGGTCGCGTATCTTTGTCTGTGTGTGTGTGCAGAGGTCAGCTTCGAGGCCCGATTTGAGGGCCTTCCCGTGTCCAAAATGCCCTAATTCTCCGTCACTTGGGGGAATCGACCCTCCTCTTTTCGATGGCGTTTTCAGAATTTCGATAAAATACAAGTTTACAAAGTTAAAGCCGGTTTTATTCATTTTTGGGGGTCCCTGAGGGCTAATTTGCATAATACGAGAAAATACAAATTTCCTCATTCTTGCCAATTGCGCTCGCGCGTGTGGTCGGCCGGGGGGAGGGGGTCCGAAGGACCCGTGCTATCGGAAAGTCAAATTTCTGATGCAAAGGCCGAATTCCAGCGCCCAAGGGCCGCGAAGCGGGTTTTGGGCGCTGGTCTAAAAATAAAACACAAAAATCAATGCGTCGACGCCTTGTAGCATACGTACCAGTGAGGTAACCCCATCCCCAGCGGTCATATAAACACGAGGGTTGAAAAACTTTGTTCAACCCCAGCCAAATCTACCCCCGATCTTTTTGCCTTATTCGGGATAAGGAGACGGTCGCAAGCTGCCGCTTAAGCATTTTTCTCATGATAATACGTGTTCTTGTGCAAGCTGGGATATGCAGCATCATTTATTACACTCATTTAAATCGTATGTTGAAAAATGGGGTTTTGAACGCAAGTCCCTCCTTGCTCGCGTCAAAGCCTAATCCAGAAACGAATACGCCGACGCCATCCGTCCCCGCCCGGATGCCTGTATCGACGTTGACCCCCACACCCACGTCGACGTTTTCTCCTTTGTGCTCCGCCCAGATCGGCTGCAAAGTATGATATGATAAAAGTGACAAAAGGGGCCGCATGCTGTATTTTCACTAAAGGCTCCGTCCTCTAACAAAGTCCCCCGTCAGGTGGCTCAAGGAAATAGAAGCCCTTTGTACCAAAGACTGACCGCTTAGTCAGGTAAGCTTTAACAATTGCGGCAACCAAAATTGAGGCGTATTGTTAAATATTTTTCTATTTGTAACTTTTATACATCTTTGCTATGACAATAAACCTGACCGTGTAAAGTTGGAAGGGTCCTATGACCTCTTAAAACTCACCTTTGCTTCGACGCCAGCTCCAAGGCCGTCTTTCGTGATGCCCCAGTTCCCGCCAACTTTTGCCACATCGAGCGTAGCCCCTGGCTTGCTGCACTTGATCAGGGTACTGCTGCCGGCGAGATCAAGTCCACGTGTTATATCGCATTTACCATCAAGGACAAACACCTCTTCTTTTTCATGGTTGGCGGCCGCCGCCTTCGGACGTCTCTCAGCCTGAAATCAACCAATTCCTATATTATGTACACTACCATATAAAAACATGAGGTGTAGGTTATTCCGATTGGTTAGCTCCTACCGAATCTCATGCTAAAAATGGACTTCCGCCCACCTCAACTGCCTCCCTACTGGTCCCCTCCTTCTCCCTTTCGACTTCCTCGACTTTGCGCTGCGCCCTCTCCGCAGCGTCTTGGTTTCTACGGGCTTCCGCTCGCGCGTTCGCAGCTTCTCTTTCTTGCCGTTGGCGCTCCATTCTCTCAGCTTTCGCCTCACGTTCCGCCCACTCCTTCTCTTTCTTCAGTTTCTCTCGCTTCAACGCATTGTTGTTTCGTTCGCGCGCCGTCGCGATCCCTTCCTGGAATTTTATATATATACGAGGGTTGAAAAGCCGCTTCGCGGCTTTTCAACCCTGGCCCCGTCTGACCCCGTTTTATCCTTCACTTTGCATAATTTTCCTGAATTCAGATGACAAAAAATGAAAAACTACCTCTTGAGCCCCTTTATGTAGTCGAATCCCCACTTCCGGTCTACGCTAATTGTTCCTAACAAAGAGGTTTTTACAAAAACTTAAATTTAATGTCGAAAATAGGTGAATTTGTTAAATCTGGTATGCGTGCAGTCATCTCCAGGCCTTTACGCCTTTAATGACGTATCATACATACCTTAAAATTCCTCCCCTATCGAGATATCCTCCGGACAGACATCCGGAAGTGGATGCAAGTGGCACACACAGACACACACACACACACACACACACACACACACACACACACACACACACACACACAGACACTATTTTTTTATATATAGTAGGATATATATATATAAGCGCTTCTACTAACAGGCCATGAAAATTACCGTTAATTCTTTTCCGAAAGCTTCCAAGGCGTTGCTCTTCTCTTCAGGATTTCCAAGAACTTTTGAGTTCTTGTATACGTGGAGGGCGGCTGCTTGGTATTCCATGATCTTGAGCTCAAACATTCCGGCTGCCATGGCATCCGGGATTGTCTTCACGTCCTGGGATTAAAATTGCGTAATATAAGTATTTTGCAAAAACCTGGTTAAACTTTGCCATGCCCGCTCTATGAGCCGCATTGAAGAAGACGTTTTTCATCGCCTAAATTCCGCCCAGATTATGAAAAAAGAAAGTCACACCTCGAGGGAACTTTTGATTCCGCCTTCGGAAAAATTTCGAGCATGCTTGACCACTTCCTAGAACGGTTTTTTTTTATTTTAAAGTGATTGTGCTACCTTGAAATATGCTCCAAGCGTTTCCCCATCGAGCTGCACGCTTGAGGTGTTTTTGTTAATTGTCTTTGCCTCCAAACTAGCCAACTGCTGGTCAACAAACTCGCAGAGGCTCTTCAGGAAATCTGGCTCGCAATCTGAAAGCAAAAAGTATCTTGCTCAATTTCCACGGATACAATAGGGGTTATTTTTATTTTTTTATAAATCACGTTTCCTATACTCATTTTTCTTAAAATGCTTTTTAGAAAAATGAGTTTATGAAAAAATGACATTAATTCATACAGTACCTTTAGCCTGGATAAAGTCGCTCGCCAACTCAACCTTCCTTCCCGGGTTCGGGACCTGCCAACAGATTTTATCGTCAAAAGCGCCCAGAAGCCCTTCGATTTGCGCTGAAAGTTGCCTTGCCGACCCGGCTTCCATCTGAAACAAAGCAATCATAGAACTGAGATTTCGCGTTCTGTGTTCCGTGTTTTTAAAGTTCTGATAGTGTACCCACTTTCTTGCGATCAAAATAGTCCTCATCATGCCCATTATGCCGAACTGAATCTCGGACTAGCAGGGCGAACCTCTGAAAAATGACAAATATTGTCGTTTATTTAAAACCAGTGGAAAAAGACCGCTTCGCGGCCCTTTTCCACTGGACCCCGTCCAGAAACCATGAATTTGAATACCTTCTTTTTTTGGGTCTGCGGCGCAGGTACCTGCGTCAAGGATCCATTCTTTGGACTGCGGCGTCAGTGAGGCGCTAGTTACTGGTTCCCCCCAGCTTGGCCTGCGGCGCGAGAGCCTGGGCCAAGGACCCATCGTCGGCCTGCGGCGCGAGAGCCTGGGCCAAGGACCCATCGTTGGCCTGCGGCGCAAGAGCCTGGTTCAAGCTCCTTTTCGTCGGCCTGCGGCGCTAGAGCGACGGTCAGGCCTAAACCTCGCACATCGAGAGCCTCGAAATACGTTTTGTTGCTAAACTACCAAAAAGCAAAAAGTTGGATTCTCCCAGGACCCGAACTCCTGACCATACGTTTAGTAGACCGGGCGCCAACCCACTCCACCACAGGGACGATGGGAACGGGTGGCCTGAAAGGCCTCTTCTTTCTGGGGAAGGCTGGGGGGAGCCATGGCAAAGAAAAGGGTGTCCCAATGATTCCGCGCGGGTGGCCTCCTGGTCACTTTACAAAACTCGCTCTTTGAGTCTGAATCTGCTGAAAATTTCTAACGATAATAAGATGCGCATGATCCCCACTATCGAATACATAATTTGTCCAAATTCCAGCCCGAAATTCCAAATGGCCATCGAGTTATGGACTGAAGACCACGGCGCGCAGCCCACTTTGTTAAAGGGATACCCAATGTTTTGGCAGCAAATATATAGTTATATATTCCGGGCAGTACAATTGACGCGCGAATTCCGCGCGGTAACGGGGGGCCCTACAAAACGGGGTTCCCGGGTTCGACCCCCACCCGCGATATGGTTTTTGCTTTTTGACTCTCGGAAAGGTTGGGAATCCCTTTAAGGACTTTTTAGAAAAAGGCACATAAAAATTTTATTTTACAAAATCTGAACAAACGCAAAATTATATATCGGGAGAATTCTATTTTCAATCTAACCTCCAAAAATTAACGCTGAATTCCTTTTGGATCGCGAGATATCCTCTGAGCTAACCTTTTTTTGGCCAAAATGGGAAGGGTTTTCCACTATTTTGCTTGTAAAATCCTTAAATGAGGGAATTTCGAAAAACAAAAAAAATGCCTATAAAGAGGATGTGTTTCTCCACTTCCATGCCAAAAATCAGCGCAAAATTCGGCCTGACGGCCGAGAAATCGGCTGCACAGAAAACAGACATACTTTTCTCGCTTATAGGATAGAAGGATTCTAACCTGTCCAATCCTTTCCCCTTCTTTGTCCGTATAAGCTTGGAATTCGTTGAGGGGTCTCCCAATCTTGGGCGTCCATATTCTTCATGATGTTTAGGACCTGAAATAGACCAAATAAATCACGTTGTAATGCTAGTCTCGGTTTCGGTTATTTGCCATTATTTGCAAGGCCGATTAAAATCGTTGATAACTCCATTCAGAATATGCGTCTCGTTCCGCCTGTCTGCTGCTTTAGCCAGCCTTCCAAAATTTGAGTCGCAGAAATTTCGCCCCAATCCGATGCTTATCATGCAAAAACCCACAAAGCAAGAAGAAACCATCAGCGATATGGTGCACAGAATCGCGGAAACTGCCTTCTCGCTCTCGGTATCAAACGTTCCCTGCACATCCAAAATCAGCACCATCATCTGAAGCTTGATTTTATAGGCTTTTGTAGCTTTTCTGAATTCACGCCCATGCAACAACAACACAAAATTGCGACGTTTTGGAAATTTGCGTCCCTGGCACCTTTACCATTATCTAGAAAGTTTCTACCTTTTCGCCATGACAGTTTTCCCATGGGAACAACTGCGACCAGGCGTTGATCCCCTTGGTGTGGGCCCGATCCTGCGACTTGAATGGTATCCCCCTAAAAGCGCTTGATCAGGAAAATACGTGCCCAATATTTTATAAAGTGCACCATAATCCTACCCAATTTTTTCCTCCGGTTTATACACCGCCTGACGGTCTTTGAGGGCCTTCATAATCACATTCAGCAAGAATGACTTGCCGGTGCGGAATTTCCCGCAAACCGCCAGTACAGCAATCTAAAAATAATAGATATGAATGTGATTTACAGCTACACACGCTAAGTTATTTAGTAAATACAAGCTATTGGAAAGTCAAATTTCTCAGGCAAAGGCCGCATTCCAGCGCCCAAGGCCCGCGAAGCGGGTTTTGGGCGCTGGTTTAGTAAATAAACCTACTGGTCGGCCCGAGGCCGGTTCAATCAGGTTCTTCAGAAAGTTCTCATCCAAACCAACGTGACTTCCATCGCTGTTGATCGTGAGCAGAGGCTTGAGTGCCGCCATTGCTAAAATTTAACTGATAGTGGGTTTAATCGCGGAAAATCCCATACTGTGCTTCTATAAATACAAGCCTCTTCCAAAGCAATGCCCCCCGCGGAATATCGGTTGTACAGAGTGGCAAAAGAATGCGAAAAAGAGGGTATTTATAAAATGCAATACGTAGATAGAAAAAAAGGCACGCAGTGGATTGACCATCGTAGAACGGAGCCCTTTTATCCGGATCCAATTTCTTGCGATGAGAATTGGGCAGCGGGTTGATTCACGAGGACACGCCCCTCAAACGAATGTAGCACTTTCCTAAGTAGGCCGCTCGTACTTACTGTGCCCCTCAAGTGTTCATCCTATTTTACGTTTTAGGGTGCCAGTACTCGATGTTTAAAATTCGTAAAATAATTAAAACTCAAGTCAAAAAAAAAAATTATAACGTAAGCAGCTCTCAGATAAAGTTCGAGCCATCAAAGGCAGCAAGTTTTCGGCTTTTCCATTCCATTGCGGACACTTACATTAAGAAAACAGAAAAGGCTCTTGCAGACTTGTGCGACGGCCCTCACTCTCGATTTCACCAAAAAAAATACACGATCGTCTGTTGCCTGGAGGAGTATTTTGATTTTAGCGGTTTTTCAGTGACCTTGTCGGGGAATTTTCCGATTGCTCAATTTCTTGAGGAAGAAAATGGCAACCCCATCGGTGTCGGATATCACGGGGAAGATCAATGAATTGGCGATGACCTTGCTCAGTGGGGTGTAACGATGAGCTTGACGTTTGATGAGAAACTTTTTTAGCAATCTATTGATTCGCTGGCTTTGATTAGCTAAATTCATGGAGTGAGATGTTCTTAACGATAACAACAAATTGTTTATTTAACGAGTCTTTTGCATATAGCACAAATTCGTAAGGTCACAAATCCACTTGGCGTAGCGGCGCGTGTCTGTCACGTACGACTCGTCCAGCTAAAAAAATTCGGCGTTTGTTTTGCAGTGTTCGGTGGATGTTTTTATGACAATTCGAACCTTTTCTAGCGTAAAGACCGACACACCGACTACCCAATTGATTCCGCCTGCCATTAGTCGCTCAAAGCCCGAGCCCGAGTCACCCTAGAAAAAATATATAGGATTAAAGATCCGTCTTTGAAAGGATTGACTCTTCTAAAACCCTCAAAAATTACCCCCTCAATCCCTTGGGTATATTTCTCCGATCTGGCGCACAACACGTCCTTGTCTAACGATTTGCGCTGCTCTGAATATTTTTAGAATAGTGAATGGTAAAGTTGCCGACTTTTCGTGGCACAATCAACAAGTTCGACTTTCTCGATGTAGTTCAGGGTGTCGGTGGTAATACCGGCATCAGCTAAAATTATATAAAATCATACAGGGTGGGCAAAAAAAAAAGTACAGAGTTTGGGTCGAAATAACTCGCTTATCTTTGAGAATCGAAGGTACGTTACCATGCCAGAATGCTTAAATATGCTGGGCATGAAGATTTAACACAACTTGTTTTTTTCGATTTTTGGCGACGTATCAATACAAATGACACCCGAAAAATGTGCGTTCCGCTAAACTTCATATGCATTTTTCTCAGTTTCTTGTGGTGGCTGGCTTCTAATTTTTATTAAGTAAGTTAATGTGGGCAGCAGATATGCACCTGCAAAATTTAAGAATTTTTGAGGGTCTGGATGACAAGTTATAGAGGAATGAAATTTTGTATGGGGAAATTTCGTAATTTATCGATATTCAAAAAACTCATGGTGGAAATGTCAAAATAAATAGTTGTAGAATACCTACGGACTATGCACAATCGCATAAAAATCTTAAAAAAATTTTTGAGATCGATGAATTTTCGAGTTTTTCAACGACCCCCTGGTCATGGATTTTTCGAGGTCTCGAAATCGAACTTTGGAAAAACATTTCTAAATTGCCAAGGGGGACTCAGCTGTTTTCTTTGCTTAGCTATGTAGCACTGGGGTTTATCTATCATCTACAAAATTTCGATCTACCGTACCGCTTTGGAAGGGCGTCTTTTAGGGCCTCCAAAACGGTTGGTTCGTGCTTTTTTCCGAATCTTGTCACCATTTTATAAAATTTAGTCGCGCTGTGAAAATTATTGTTTTTATTTTATCTGATACCTCGTGAATAGCGCATCCTAAAGCCTTATTCATGAATTTTTTTTAACCAGCTGTTGGCGCCAGGAAAATTCATCAAAACCCGAAATAAACCGAATTGGAGGTTGCGTCAAAAAATTTTGGAAGGTGGAGTCGTAGAGATATTTTGAGCAATAAGTCAGTGCCATCAGTTGAATAAAACTATGCAAAGACTAAAACAATTTTCCGTCGAAAACTTTTTTAAAAGAATTTTAAACTTCGATTTTGGAATAGGGTGATCTTCGATTTTGAGCTGAAAGTCACCATAATTTTGAATCAGATTGCTCCGGAATTTGACGGGCGTAGATAATAACATCAAAGCTATAATCGTATCCAAAAGACTTAAGTGGTTTTTTTATTTTTAATAATTCGAAAATTGACCCCGGCGACTCGGACCAAAAATCGGCTCTCTGGCCTATTTTGCACTTGGCCTGGTACACATAGGATAACGGGGGGGGAAAAAATAACGGGGGGGCACTCAAACTTTTTATATGATAAAAGTATTTTTAAATATGCTTTTTTCGGGCTGTAAAAAAAACTCTTAGTATATTTTTCGGTCCTCTATCGAATGGCATTTTCAAAATATCGAAAATATTCAAAACGCCGAAAATTTTTTTCCCCCCCTGTTATCCTATGTGCTGCCCATAGTTTTCAAAAATAGTTTTTAGGCCATAAAACTTTCATAATACATTTTTTCGCGTTGTAAAAAAACTCTTAGTATATTTTTTGATGTTCTATCGATTCGCGTTTTCAAAATATCGAAAATCTCAAAAATTTGGCTTTCCCCGTTATCCTATGTGCTGCCCATGGATTTTGATAAATTTTTGTTTATTCGATAAAAAATTTCATTTACATTATTTCGGGCTGAAATTAATTTTCCTAGGGCAGTTTTCGACGCTTTATCGAATGACGTTTTCAAAATACCGAAAATGTCGAAAATGTCGAAAATTTGACTTTCCCCCCCTGTTATCCTATGTGCTGCCCATAGATTTTCCTCAATTTTTGTTTATTCAATAAAAAATTTCTATTACATTATTTTGGGCTGAAATTAATTCTCTTAGTATATTTTTCGACGCTCTATCGAATGGCACTCGCAAAATCCCAAAGTAATTGCAAATTTCATAATAATGAGTGCCCCCGTTATTTTATTCCCCCCGTTATCCTATGTGTACCCTTGGCCTGGTAACTTTGTTATTTGCCACCCAAAATCAGTCATTTTTAACAGGCTGTCTTACAATCATCTCCCGAAGGTCCTCGAATAGAAAAATCGTCACTTTATGGAATTTTGTGATGGCATGCTAAAACGCGCCCCAAGTGGGTTACTGTAGAAAACCGAAATTAGCGATTTTCGTGGTGTTTTTGCCATGGAATCGCTTCGATCTTTCGGTAAAAGCAATAGTAGGAGTTTTTGGTACAAATGACCAAAAAATTTACAAGATTCTGCCGCAGAATTAAAAAATCTGTTTTTAGTCTTTTTCATGAAAGTTTGTGGATAGTACGCTCTCGTATTTGGCAGTAAGGTGCCCCTACTTATTGCCTAACAACCCAGAAAATTTCAGCCGGATCGAAGCTAGGGGAGCCGAGAAAAGCGGGAAAAACGAAACCTACAGCACCCCGCTGGGGTAATGTTTTAGTAAGCAATACAAAAATACCATAGATTGTGGTGGAATTTGGTGTGGAATCCGAGACTAATTTTTGAATAGGTCATTGACAAAACATCAGCCATAGGCAGCGAGTTATAAGCGAGTTATGACTCAAAGAACAAAAATAACGCAAAATCGCGAAAATTGTTTTGCTTTTAAAAAATGAAATTAACCTCGATAAATTCTAAGATTGTGCCATTACATTTCTACAAATTTATACTATTTTTAGGCCAAAAATCAGAATTTTCTCACCACCCGTTCAAGAACGCACAATTTTCGGTCGTAACCAACGTCAATAGTACAGTTGCGTACCCAAAAATCGAAAAAATCAAGTTGTGTTAAATCTTCATGCCCAGCATTTTTAAGCATTCTGGCATGGTAACGTACCTTCGATTCTCTATCATTCGCGAGTTATTTCGACCTAAACTCTGTGCTTTTTTTTTGCCCACCCTGTATAAGCAAATCATCTGAAGAGAGAATGAAAAAATCAGAGCGTTGAGGTCTTTTAGCAAACGTACCAGTCAAGTATCCCCAACCCCAATGTCCATATAAAGTATCATAGGGCAAGTCCTTTTTCCAGGGTGGAAGACATGCATATCTGATCGTGGCGGACTAAAATTAAATTGTTCAAAAAATGGGTTAAAATTGCCTCCTTGACTGGTGTTTCTAATTCGAGAATTGCATGTCTCCGCCCATTCTCCAGTTTGTACCATAGACCGCTTCTTTTGGGATTACGATATTTTTCACCTAAACGTTTTGTGGTCTCACTTTCTATCTCTCTCTCTCTCTCTCTCTCTCTCTCTCACCTTTACCACCGTTCTCTGCGCATTTCTCTCCTCACAGACACCCGACTTTGCAACACATTTGGCCCCAACTACCACCCAGATATTCGTATTCTTCCAGGTAGGCATCGTCTTTTCACTTTTAGACGGTTGTTCTAATTCGAGGTCCCTGAAAAGCGATGATCAGCCCAAGTACCCAAAGATGTCACAGTCCTTCGCAATTAATAAACTTACGCCGGACAATGGGCTGCGGTCATAATGTGGCGATCGGAGATGAGGGTTCCGGTGCAGAATGGTAGGTCATGAAAGGGTAGTTAATGGAATTGGCAGGGAATGATTTCGATGGATTTTCGAAGGATAGTTGTCCCATATTTTCGAAAGAGTTAGGCTCCCGATAGGAAATTAGCACAAGGGGAAACATAGCAAGGCAACTTTATGTCAAGCCGGAAGAGGGGGAATATCATTACTCCTAAAACCATGATTTTTAAAATCATTACTTCTAAAATCATTACTTCTAAATTCATTACTTCTAAATGGATTGCGAAATAATGACGTTTCGATGTCATTGTTTTAGAAGAAATGACTTTTAGACTGTAATGATTTTAATGGGTAGCCAAAAAAAGAACTTCGAGAATATAGCCTTTCGAAAAGTTGACATTCGAAAATCAATCATTGAAAAGTTACTTTCGAAAATATTATTTTCGAGAAAGCGAAGGAGGAATAGCTAACCAACCATTGAAGAGTTGGGGTTGCTTCTAAACAGTGCAGCCGCCCAGCGAAATCTTTGGTCCCTCTCGTTGACCATCGCCTGGCCACCCCGCAACATATTCGGAGGCTTCGCTAGACTTTTGAAATGGGAAATTTGAACAAAGGCTAACGTGGCGTCGCGCAGCGCCTCCGTAGCTGATCATCAACATCCGGTGATGCGGGAGCTAATTTGGAGCCAGAGTCTGAAAAGGAGTCTCAACGGTCGCATTTTCAAAAATAATTGCCGAATCGTAATTGCCGAAATTTTCAAAAATCATTGCCGAAATGTTATATGAGTTGCCAGCCAAAAGAGCCAAAACACGCACACACAAAAACTCACAGAATTGCGGGCTGAGGTTAAGCCCCAAATCTTCGGTAGGGTCAAAGGCGTAGATGCATTGGAGCAGTACAAAAAAAATACGGTAGCTTCCCACATCTTTTGCGTGAAAAAGGCTATGGTTTCCGCTGGCCCGGCTTTACCCCTACATCAATGTTCAGCCTCATCTCGGAAACGTTTACGAAAACGGCAGACGCCCACGAAATCAAAGAGCACCGATCGGGTGTATTTTTTTGAGAGCTGCAAGGAGACACCGCTCGCGAAAAGTATGGATCCGCATGGGGGGCGATCATTACTTCTAAATCCTTATTTTGGAAAGTTATTGCTTCTAAAAAGGATCTACTATACATCTTTCTAATGTCCGTCGGCCCGACTCTCCGTAAACGAATTCAACGTTCCCCAGGGCATTTTCGGAGAGAGGCGGTGGGCGCGCACCACCAAACATTCTCACACTAATGGTATCAGTAATCGCCAAGCTAAAGAAGATGGTTTAGCAACGATTTTTATTGGTTTTCTTAGGATCAAAGAAGGGATATTCTTTTTTCAAAGGGTATGCTAGCCATTCCGCGATTCGTAGATGTTTTATAGTAGTAAAAAAGGAAAATAACTTTTTTCAAAGGGTATTATGGCCATTCCGCGATTCGTAGATGTTTTTAGCCTCAAAGACCGATATCACTTTGTTTCAAAGAGTATTCTAGCCATTCAAAGGTTCTTATGCTTTTTAGTCCAAAGGAGGTTTCGTTAGCAACCAGTCGATAGCAGCTGCTAATAAGCTGATGATATGGACTGGTTACTTCTAAAATCGTTACTTCTAGAACTTGGTACGTCGGATTATCGCTTTTCGGCACGTTTCGACATATTAATTCCCGAATTGACGTTAGGAATTTTAGAAGTAATCCCTTTGGCAGTAACGATTTTTAGAAGTACTGATTTTTGAAGTAATAATTTCTAAAAAGTCATGATTGGTAGGCGATTCACATTGTTCCCAGATGCAAATGCTTTATTTAATCGAAACAAGTAGGGATTGCTGGTTGGCGATTATGCGCACGTTTCCTTGCATTCAGCGAGCGTCTCGAAGTTGTTGGCGGTACCACTGCAACCCCCATGGCTGAAGTACTTGCAAGTGCCCTCGGTTGCGTCGAAGTAGTAAAGATCGAAAGCGGCCCTAAGCAAAAGGGTTGCTGTGTCATGCATAAATATTTTTCTACGGCCACGAAGCCTTACATGCAGCGTCTCCAACCGTCGATGGGAGGGAGATAGCAAATGTCCGCTGGGAGTGCGACTCCTCTCCTCCAACCGGGCTGCCGGAAGCTGAAATTAGGGCTATTTTGTGTTTGTGTGAAACAAGCCACCCGTTATTATCTTCAAAAGTCGATGGTTGGGGAAAAATTTTGCTACCTTGAACTTTGATACCATGGATGGTTTACCACCCAAAAAAGCCAGGATATTCCGGAGTGCCGGACAGATCGCGTTCAAATTTATTTTCCGATTTTCGGCAACAAATCGCAGAAAATCCATCCGAAAAACTTGTGATCCGGAAAAATCGAGTGCGCTCTTTTCCTGAGTCCTGGTCGTGGGATTTTTCTGTTTTTTTTTGGAGAAAAGTAGCCAATAGCTAGGTAGACAGAGTATTTAGTTTTCGAGGAATTCTATGTGAACGAAAGTTACATTTGCAAAATTCAATGTTAAATTTAGCACCTTAATACGTCTCAGATTTTGTCTGAGCGTATCTGCCACTCGATTTTTAGCCCACCTGCCATGAAGCACATGGCCAATACGAGCAGAGCTGCGGCTTTTCGAAGGTCAGTTCAGTTTGTTCAGTTCGAAGTTTCGAAGGTCATCACTGAAACAAAAATTTAACGATAATTACCGTTTTTTAATGCGACCGAAATTTGTGTAAGAAATTATGCCGGCCAAGAAAGGCAGCGTCAAAAAAAGGAAAAGCCTCTTCCGGACGAACTTTTAAAGGGAACGGTTCACTGCGCTGGAACCCCGTTTCTACGATTCTATTCAGCTGAAGAAGCCAGTTGAAAGGGAAAAACTTTACGTTCCTGAATCATACACATCCAATTGTTCAAGCTAAATGCCAAACATGTCGAAAAAGACACCGCAGATCGGTCTGGGTGTTGTTTTCAACGTCTGTCAAAACCTTTGAGCTGAACTTATTAACGTGAAAGCCCGTACTTTCTGCCTAGAGCAGTGTATTAGTCCGGGAAAAGCATGGCATTTCGCAATATGTTAATTGGGTTGATCCCACGTTAATCGTCTATAGACCGATCTCCCAAAAATTTATTTATTTGGTTACAAGTTCGGGTCCTTCATGTTGTTTCTGATCGATTACGGTAACTTGGTGGTGCAATGCGGAATGTTTCTACTGACGTTATTTGCAATTGGGCGGATGGAACTGAGGAAGGTAACGGAATTTCCAGGGGGGAAATCTGTTTATATTGGTACCAAAACCCAGCCGTATAAACTTTATCAAAAGCTAAAGCCGCGACAAAATTGAAAGTTTTTTTAGAATCTTAATCCAATCACGCTCGCTAATTTTATTCTTGTCTTAACGGAAACAATCCATATCCCTTTATTCAACATTCACGACTATCTGGCCCGTATCTTTGAATTCGAAACCTTTGGAAGTGCCGGGCTTTTCCTATTCTTACTATGGCTAAATTTTCGATATTACCTCCAAATATACCTATTTTACTACCTCTCTGTTCTTCATCTTGTCGCCATTTTTGCGCCGACCGTTTATTGGAAGCTAGATATCAGGGCTTCTTTGATATCGCTTCTGGCTCCTGGCTTGCTAGCGCTAGGTAAGCTATTGATAGGGAACCACCAGATCACTCTTGCTAACATCATCTCGTTTTAACGCAAAAAAAATGTTTTAGCTAATATGGCCGCCTATAGCATTGTTTGCGCTTGTACGATGTATGCAATTCCGGGCTATTATCTCACCTACGCACCCGGAAATACTGATGTCACACAAATATTCACAATATCTGGCAACATTTTGAAGGTAAGTTGGACTTACTGCTCGACGTTAAGATCAGCGAACCGATGCTGGTTCTGGTTCATTAGCGGGGGGGGGGGCGGGACGGAAGGCCACGCCGATATCCCCCCGTTTTCCAGGGCGGTATGTTCGCGTTGGTTCTTGCAACTGATGCGGTTATTGTATGGAAACTGTACCAAATGAATGTATTGGGAACAAAGAAGCTGAAGAGCGAGCGTAGGAACTTTAAGAAAACAGAATAGTTCCCACATTCTAGGAAGTTCTCGAACAACCACACTTGAAAATGGGAGGGCGCAAAAAATTACAGTCGAGCTGAAAAACCAGGTTTCAAAAAACTGGCGATGTTACCGCACCTTTTAGCCACCAAGGCTCCGCGTCGGACTCGACAAGCGATTGGCTATTGCATTTTTATATATCATTTTTGTTTATGTCATTTATTTGGTGTACTTTTTATATCTGAGAATGTAGGTTTTGCTATCTTTACAAGGCCTAATCGTGTTCAAGATTCCCGAGTGACTGGGTACCGTACTTAAACCTAACAATCTACGGTATCGATGCCTGTAAATGCACAATTTATGTATTAATTAAAACCCTGAGATAAAGGTGGCTGTATTCCTTATTTAGTCACATGTTGTAAGTTTATGGTAACAGGGTAAGGCTCGCATCAAATTAACACGGATCGAAACACCCAAGAAAATTATATTTTTTCCGAGATCAAACAGTTTTGGCGCATACCTAGTCATCGCGTGGATGTAAATTTTGTGCGGTTGGCCAGACTCTGGATTGACCTGAGAAAAACGCAGCGGTTTCGCCTCAAAATCCCATGAAGCTGATGTTTCTCAATTCGCAAAAAAGCGGCAATCTCTCGCCAAAATGTTAACACCAATCGACTACGGTAATGTTGTGTTGCAGTGCGTGATATTTCTAATTAATTTATTTGTGCTTCGAAGAATGGAATTGAGAAGGGTAATTAATTAGCAATTTTATGGTTTTCGTTTGTAGAACTCCTTAAAACTTTTTTGCCCGATTAAGTAAAATCCGCCGGATTTTAAGAATATCAACCCGATCAACTTAGCCAATTTCACCCTGGTGATTTCGGAAACGATCCACATCCTACTCTTCAACATTCACGATTATTTGGCAAGAATCCTTGAATTTGAGCCATTTGGTGCCATCGGATTCCCTATATTCGTGTTATGGCTAAATTTCCGATATTTCGTGCAAATCAATATATTCTATTTGCTCTGTGTTCTCCATTTAACTGCCATATTTGCACCGGGATTCTTTTGGAAACTGGGAACTAAAGATTCGTTTATCTCACTGTCGGTTCCGATTTTGATGGCTTTAGGTAAGATAGTCGTTTAAAGTAATCGATTATGTATAAAAAAATTACCGAGATATGTTGTTGTTTTTCAGCATATATGTCAGCCTACGGCATCTTTTGTAGCTGTACAAATTACGCAATTCCGGGCTATTACTTCACCTTCGAACCGACTAAAATCAACGTTACAAGAATTTTTACGATTCTTGGGAATGTTTTCAAGGTCTGTTTCGAACTGAAAATTCATAACCAGTAAGGTCTCTAGCTAAAACACATACTTTCGCGTCGCGTCTTTTATATATTCGATAGCAATTGTTTTAGGGCGGAATGTTCATCATCGTTCTCGCGACGGATGGAATAATTGTATGGAAACTCTATCGTATGAATTTATTGGGCCAAAAGCCAGTGAAAAATGAAAGTATGTTTTGAAATTGTTATTACAATACTTAGTTATCTTTTTGTAGGGAGCTCTCGAAATACCACCAGCGATAACGGTCGAAATCCAAGGGCTATCGTCACTAATCAGGTTTTAGAGATTTTTCCGAAGAAAAACTTGATACTTTAGCAAAGCCGATTGCGCATCGGTCTCGATAAACGCTTGGTGATTGCTTTGTTGTATATAATCTTTGTCTATGCGGTTTATTGGGTATACTTTCTATTTGTTGGCATGTAAGTTTTGATTCGTTCGTTGAAAAACAGGCGTTTTGTTTAGTATTCCACCAGTTCTGGTGCCATATCTAAACCCGACCGTCTACGGGCTCGACGCTTGTAAGTGTACCGTCTATGTGTTGATCGTGACTTTGAAATAAAGCTAGAAACCGGACCTTCGAATTACAAAGAAATTTCATCCTACGAAAAAAGTATTCCTGGTTAAAGGGATCCGTTCAAAAGTAGCGACAAATTTTTCTCGCACTTTCCCGGGAAATACAAACAAGATTTCCTAGACTCTTACCATTTACGCAAAAAGCTCATTATGCTGACGATTGCTAACGATGACGACGGCCTCGGTGCTTTTGCGTTATTGGGGGGTATAGGGTGGTGTTTTAGTGACATTTTCCAAGAACAACCGCAGCGGAGTTTCAAAATTACATCAAACTTGCCTCACGCTGGCACTTGCCAGAAAATTAACATTTTCCAAAGACCGATACGAGACTCGGCGAATACTTATTGGTCGCGTAGCTGAACAACGTTATACGCCTGGGTCGATTTTTGTATCGACATGCGAAAAAGTGTTGTTTTTCGTTTGAAAATCGCACGCTGTTGATCTTTCTGGACCCGAAAAAATGGCGCAGACAAGCTATGGACATGTTCTTTTAAGTATGTTAACGGCAATCGACTACGGTAACCTGGGGTAGCAATGTGTTTTATTTTTATTAAATTCATATGCCATCAATTGCGCGGAATTGGGAAAGGTAACCGATAAGAGCCTTATTAATAATTTTCTGTAGAATTTCAATCCCATATCGGCAGCGAATTCGGTACTGGTGTTAACCGAAACTATCCATATATACCCCTTTTGAATGCACACGACTATCTGGCACGGAATTTCGAAACTGAAACATTTGGCGACGCTGGGTTCATGATATTCCTACTATGGCTGAATTTTCGATATTACCTACAAATATTAGTCTTTTATCTACTTTCCATACTTCATTTAACGGCCATTTTTGCCCCGGCCTACTATTGGAAGCTAGAAGCCAAAGCTTCATGTATTGCAATTTCGATTCCTGCCATCATGGAGCTGGGTGAGCTTGCTGGTGGTAATTGATATAACGCCCCAGGTGCTAATGCGCGGGGGCAGGGGGGGCAGTTCAGGTTTTGACTACAAGACGCCCAAGCCTGAGCGCAGCTTCATACAAGAACGAAGTCTAAACCAAGCTCTAAACCCAGCCCTAATGACCCCAGTTTGGGCTCCTAAAGCAATTTAAAGCTCAAGTTAAGCTTAGCTTGGGCTTAAGCGTAAGCCTAATTGTTAGGCTTAGCTAAGCTTAGTTAAAGCTCAGTTAAGCCTAGGGTTAAGCTAAAAACCAAGTAACTTAAACGGAGCGGCTGTTAACCCGTTGTGACCAGTTCTCCATTGCGCCCCCCCCCCTAACTGCATTAGCACCACTTTTAAGGCTTTAAACAGTACAGGGTGTCCCAAAAAAACCCGCCTACCTAGCGGTCCGCAGTCGAGTCCGATTTTTATCATTTAGGTGTTACGAACCCCGCTTGTTTTCGCGCCTTTCGAGAGCTTTCGATTGATAGCTGAATCGTAAAGGTCGCCCTCGACTGCGGACCGCTAGGTAGGGGGGTTTTTTGGGACACCATGTAGACAATATTATCACATTATTTTTAGCCTGCATAGCCGCATATAACTTTTTCTGCCCTTGTACCATGTATGCAATCCCCGGCTACTATCTTACGTATGCCCTCGGGAAAACGGATTTTCACGATTCTTGGGAATATTTTAAAAGTATCGGAGCTTGCTAATCGTTTTCTGTTAATAGTGGCATGCGCCTACAGTGATTTCCAGGGTGGAATGTTCTTGTTAGTACTACTGACGGATGGGATAATTGTGTGGAAACTCTATCGTATGAACGTGCTAGGAAGGAAGCAAGTGAAAAATGAAAGTAAGAATTTCTAGTGGCATGAAAAGACGTTACGTATGTTTTCCAGGAAGTTCCCGAACAACAACAGTGGACACGGCAAGAAATCCAACAATTATCATCACCAATCAGGCAAAAATCATCCTTAAGAAATAAGGGACATTTTAGACCTCCCGATTGCGCGTTGGACTGGATAAACGACGAGTGATAGCATTTTTATTTATCATTGTTGTCGATGTTGTCTATTTGGTTTACTTTTTATTCTTTGAAGCGCACGTTCAGGGAGGGGCCGTGTACTCGTCCCAACGTGTACACCCTATGGACGTAGGGACCGCGCGCACTGCCTGCCCGTGCTGTGACAGGCCATTCCCCTCCTTTGCGGCGTGGGGCGCCCCTCGCCCCTGCGCAGGGTTGTAGCTATGGCTGATTGGTATCCATCCGCGAGTCCCGAGCGGGGGGCCCGGGTTCGACCCCCGTCCGCGGCAAAAATCTTTGCTGTTTTCCAAAAAACGTCCCTGAACGTGCCCTTTAACATGTCAGTCTGAACGTCGGCATTGAGAAGGGCATTTTTAGGTTCCCTCGAATCTTACTATCTATGGGCTCGACGCTTGTATATGTACCATATACGTGTTAATCGTGACATTAAAATAAAGCCGTTATTCTCGATTTTTGCGCGTTAGAACAGTTTTTGGGGAGGTTCATCTAGAACACTGGACCAACCTTGGAGAACCCTGCCAGACACTCCAATTGACATGCGAAAATTAAGGTGATTTCCGTGCAATATCCCACGGTGGTGATTGTTCTGGGGGTTACAATCCAAACCGCTGGCAACTTAACGCAACCTTGTCATCCACAAAATGTTGACCGGAATCGATTATGGTAATTTGGGGTTGCAATGTCTCTTATTTGCATTAAATGTATTTGCTATTTCGCGTATGGAATTTAGAAAGGTAAACGATTAAAGGCCGAAAAATTAGTGTGTGTTAATTTTTTTTGGGCATAAAACGTTTTATATATTTCTTAGAAAAATTT